GATTTGGCAAAAATCTTGACCTTGATAAAAATGTCTAACATTTACTACGCAATTGCACAAAAAATAAAATAACATTCCTGTATAAAAAAATTTTCATGCACAAAAGGTTTGTGCCGAATTTTCAATACTGCTCGCATTACCAAACACTTAAACTGGGTTATAAAGAATTCAAAATTAAAGCATATATAAAAAATATTCCTTACTAGTGGCGCAAGGCCAAAAGCAGAGGGTTCTAACAAAAGCTGATCCTAGTAAAGGGACTGGGTCCCAAAATCGGTCCTGGGATCTAAGTTCTATATAGCCATCATGTAATTTAAGAACTGAATCCTTACCGATCCTGCAGGTCCTTGTAAGGACTGGTTAGGATTCAGTCCCAAAAGACTAATTAACATCTCTAGTTAGAAGCTTGTCAAAATTTATTAATAGAGATTTCATAAAAAGCTACAATGTGAGTGCACCCCCACCCGATTTGGATTCTGTGATGATTATATCCAAATTTGGTGTGTATGCTGTACTTCTACTTCAACGTACTCACTTGACCAATCAGATTTTCACATTAGATAAAATATTTTATGATACGATCTCCAAAGTTATTAGAACGTTTTTGTCAAGAAAAATGATTTTTATACGTAGAATTGTTAGACTTTTTATTTACCACTGTATCTTGTTAAATCACTTAGTTGTTTCAAGGTAAAACTAAAAGTGTTTTATTTAATTTAAATATATATTTTAAGAAATGTTTCAAGTTTGGTATTTCTATCAAGTTCATTTTTATTTTTTCCTTTTGATTTTACTTAACTATTTTTTTTTTTTTTATTATTCGATCACAATAGATTATTAATAAATACACTTTTTTTTTGTTTAATTTATTGTATATTTGAAATAGATATTAATGTTTCTGTTTTGTAATATGATAGTATGTCCCTTTTGTCTTGGAGATAGGAATTTCACATTCATCATACAAATCGATAGTAGATTTTCTCTTCATTCCTGCATCCAAGATTGATTCTAAATGTGAACTAGTCATTTTATTTTGGTTTTTTTGGATCATACCAATTTCAAACTTTCTGGATTGTTTTAACCCAATTATTAAAGGTTATATCAGGATTTTCTTCAGGTTCTTTTTCGCTTGATTTAAATATGGTATGTTGAATTGCTGGTATGTGGAACTTATGGCATACAGCAAAAATATGCTTGCATGCCATTCCACAAAACTTAAAGTCAGAACATGTATATTCAAGATATCCTGGCTTTATGTTATTATTTTTTTGTATACAATCTTTTAAACTAACTTCATAATTATTACTCATTAAAGATTTTATAAGATAATGACGGTTACCAGGTAGATTAAGAATCTCAAAATTTAAATAAGCAATTTTATGGTGCCTTTGTTCTTTTTGGCAGGGTATCATTCTTCCTATCATTAAACGAACTGCATTACACTCGAATTTTGCATCTTTTAGAGCAGCATGCAATGTCCAAATTAAATTATCTATCCTATGATTCTGCTTTGTATCCAAGTAAGAATACTTAAATTTTTTATGCCAAGATTCTAAAAAATTTGTAGTATTCATTTCTTGGTACTCATATTGATGGTATGCATCAATCTAGTTTTTATAGTTACCTTTATATTTATTTTTTATATATTCTACCTACTCTTTTTCACCAAAGGATGTTCATTGTGCAAGATATTCATCAAATTTAATTTGCACTTGAGAGGCATCTTGAATTCGCATAATAATACTAAGCTCATCTAGTGCTGCCTTTTGAGTAACTTGCTTTGCTAATCATTTAAATATATTATTATTTTCATTTTGTTCCTGTGCTTTAAAATAATTATTATTAGCTTTAATTTTATTTTTATTTTTTTGCTAGGCATTTTTTACATTCCACTGGCATAACAGGATTGTAGCCTAAGGATATATGGCATGAATGGCATTTTGTTGTGCATCGTTACAATTAGTAAGAAAGGTATGTAGCGTCCATTCTTCATTTTGACCTTTAATAGCTTTAAGCCAATAAATTAAAGTTTTTTTTGATTTTTTTTCAGATATCAAGTGCACAACTAGTACACCATAACTATAGGTGGCGGTGAAATTAAATTTTAATTTTGAAAATTTTAACGGTTGAAAATTAAATTCAACTGTTGAAACCGAAATTATTTTTAACAGTTGAAATTAATTCAACGGTTGAAAATAAATTAACCATCAAAATTAGTTCAACGGTTGAAAATAAATTAACTATCAAAATTAATTCAACAGTTGAAATAATTTAATACAACGTAGTTAATATATATAGCTATCATTATAAAAATGGTTACTTCGAAATTGGGCATTTTGATATTTATTGCAGTATATTACGTAAATAGAAAAATTAAGAATGCTCATAATTGATAGCACTCTGCTGCTAGTAATACAAACTTTAAATTCCTGTGTCCTTGCATGTTTCCCCCCTTTTTTTCAATTGGGCTATCAAACTTATCCGACACCATATAGGGCATTTGATTAGGCCTGTTGTTTTTAAAATAACTTGATGAATCATACGATTTTGATTAATAATAGCAAGTTATAGAACTGGCTATAAAAAAAAGAAAAATAGAAATTATTTCACCCTCTTTCGTCTTTGCCCCACTACCAAGAATAATGTAGGAAGTTTACGGTAAATTTCCTGAAAGTTATTTTCCTGACAGGCCACTTATTCGATATAACAATCTGCTAAAATGTATAGGGTTTACTAATTCCTCCAAGTTTCTTTTTGTCTCTTATAAATCAATGCTCGGATGGCTTAAAAATTAATGTAGAAAGTATCAATTTGAATAATTGGTAATTGTTATTTCCGTAAAAGTTAAATGTTTATTTAAATATTTCTTCTTACTTATTAATACTAGTTCTCTAGCTTTTCATAATCGAATAAAAAACACTTCAGAAGCCTTATTTTAGCCGCAACTCTACCCAACCCTATGTAAGTGTCCTGTTAAGAAATATTTTTGGAGTTGAGCGACAACCAATTTAAATATATCAATGCTCCTTGCGCCCATGATTAAATACAAAATCGTTGTCCATATCCAAGATTATTGTGTGATAAATGATAGGATTGATTTGATTATCTAAACAAAATCGAATTGGTTGTCACTCAACTTTCCGAAAGCTATTCACACTTACCCGACATCACATAGGGTTAGGAGGACCGAGAAATCTTTATTATAGGTCCCCGCCATAAAAATTTTAATTATATTTTTTGCGAATCAGGCTTTTTTCTAATTAAGCGAATCAGTTTTACGAACACCTTTAATAAGTTGATAATAATGCGAATCATTGTTTGGTCGGATACCTTATATAATAATTATGTAATTAAAATGAGAATTACATAAATTTGCCATTATAAATATATTGAGTTTTGAATTCTGTTATTCTTATTTGTTCGCCAAACAATATAAAATAATTAGATAATATATGTAATATGAGATAACATCACGTTAGTACATTGATAATTTTTTTGATCAGAGAATGCCACGAAGCAGCATTTTCTGAATAATCAAAAAAATTGTCGTTGTACCAATGTGGCTATATTGATATTATAGTACGGCGGTCATTGATCATAAATTGTATTGTTTTTTTTAAACTCCTTTAATTCGTATAGTACAACATAATATAAGTATGGATGATGTATGCATCGTGCAGCATGAATGACGCAATAAAAAGAAAGTGGTTTATAACATAAATAGTGTAATACTTATGATCAATAGTGGCCGTGCTGTAATGATTATATCATAAAAAGACTATCGCTATAGAATATTAAAGCCATATGATAAATAACGATTATATAATAATGATGCGAATCAGATTGTGACCAATTTTTCTGCGAATCATACAAAGCCGATAACTTTACAAAGACTTTGATTATTCGAATCTATTTAAAGTCGGTTACATTTTCTAAATTTATAATAGTGCTCGAATATTGTAGTGGCGGGGACCTATAATAAAGATTTCCCAGTCCTGGGTCAGGGGTAGTATTTGATTAGTTGTGGCTACACATTTTTAGCGTATTGTCATTCTATGTGATATCGGATAAGTGTTCCACGTAAGAAATAGAAAAAAAATTACCAAATGCGTGAAGTCCTGAAGCTTGTTCTCGTGAAAATCTCCTATTGGTAATAAGAACCTCAGCGTAATAGGGCATCTTATGAGATTCAATGCTATATATAACTTGTCTCTGTTTCATAAAAAGAAATTAAAAAAAAAATTGCAAGTATAAGTCTTTACTGAATATTGATATTCGAATAATGATGTTTTTCTAGTTGCACACGATCTTCAATGGCAAAGTTACTGGAAAGTATTAGAGTTGGAAGGCCAATGCCTTTCAATCTCCCAATCACCAACACTACTAATACAATACTTGATATAGTTCTTAGACGAACATCTGATTTATGCAATAAGATCTAACCTACAGTATGCCATAATATTTTATTAGAAATTTCTGGTTTTTTTTTTAATGTTGGTAATAAAGTTTAATCATGCAATAATTGAAAAAATAATTGTTTTTTTGAAAATAAAATACTTATTAAATACTCATTGATTTTATTGCTATAACCTTTTATATTTTTATAAGCTATAACTCTTGTATTATTGTTAACTTTTTCCTATTTCTGCAACTTTTCATATATTTCCTCTTGCCGTAACCCGTAATCTGTTGTATTGTCATAACCGCTATAACTAGTTATGGCAAATGTCAGTAATTATAACCTATGCATTACACATGATACGTCAATTGGTCTGATATCATAAAAGTTCGAAGGCTTTTAAAAGGAACAATACTGGAAAGTAAATGTATTTAAAACTTTGATCCATATTTATAAAAAAAAAATAAAACATATTTATATGCTTTGTAAGCAGGCGTCATAAATCTTATGCCCTAAAAAATTTATACTACGCATATACAAAATAAAATTATAAATTGAATTATAATCAAGGATACCATATACAATTAATAAATAAACTAGATTAATTAACCCTACCATTACTAAAATCTTCGCTTTCTTTGTCTACTAATGCATTTCGCATTTGCATTCCTTGACTAGTGAGTGCGTCAATATCAAAATCGGTTTCACCATGATCAATAATTTCATCTAGAATTGTAGATTGATTTGTATTATTCAAAGCATAAGCCAAATTAATACTATTTTCAATATTTAACATATTAGAATCAACTTTGGATAAGTCAACTTCGGATAAGTCATCATTAGTAGAATCTTCATAATTATCCTCAAAATCATCATCGGAATCATATAGTTGAATATCTTCTTCAAACATGGCAGAACCTAAAGTAAGCGAATGAGTGTAATCCTGTATCATTTTTAAAAAATTATTTTCTGGAAGATTTTGTCCAACATAATTAAGTTCATGGCGTGCATTTGTGACATAATATGCATGTAATTTGGCCATATTTGAAACTTTTTTTACGGTCAATCTTTAACATTAATAGTTATATATATAAATTAAAATTTTCAAATAAAATATAATTATATAGTAAACAATAGTATACCTATTTCGACGTTTTTGAGTAAACCAATTCAATACTGAAAAAATACGCTCACACCCTGCACTATGAGGAGTAATTGCGAGAAGTAATAAAGCAAGTTTTTGAAGATGGTGGTTTGGTAGTTTAATCGCGGCCCACCAGGTTTCTGGAAGTTCAATATGGTCTTGAAAAACGGAATGATATGGAGAATTTTGAAGATCATAATTATGTATTTGTGCAATTAATTCTCGCGCACTATTGTCTCCTCCACCTTGTGACTTCCAGATAATTAAAGCTTTTCGAAAAATTCTTTCAAACATTTCTAAAGTCAAACCTCTGCCACGATATTTGGGGTGTAGAAAATAAGCTAGTAAATAAAAGTCAGTATCAAATTCGGCCCATCGTTTGTTATAAAAAGCAATACAATTTTTTCTAAATTCAAGTCTTTCAATTGTTGTTTCCATAGTTGGCATAGCTTTAATTGCGAAAGCCATTTTAACTAAAATTAAAAACACATCTGCAAACTTAACATTTGATGATTCAACAGTTTTAACAGCAATTTTAGTAGGTTCAAGAATTTTATGAAGACATTCAACATTAGCCCAAAACTCGCGAATTGTAATATAATTTCTTAATTTTTCACTAAGTGCTCTCGGATTATTTTCTATAATCTAAAAATAAAATAAATAAAATAAAAATAACTAAAAAGAGAATCCATATATAATTAATAATTGTCAATAAGTTAATTAAATAAAACATGCTTACATTTCGTAAAACAGGTTCTAATCTCAAAATTGAGTCACAACAATCCCACGCAGAACACCATCTAGTTTTAACGGATGATTTTAAACCTCCACCTTTAATAAGTAAATCAGTAATTTCATTTCTTAACTGGGCACCAGACATATGAGAATTTTGAAAGTAAGTAACAAATTCTTGGCATTTTGAAAGAACTTGTGATCCAAAAGAAGTTTTCTTAATAATATCTGTTGCTATTAACTGAATGTGATGCGCAATACAGCGAACTGGTATAATATGTGGATATTTATTAGCAACAAAATTTTTTGCAAGTTGTATTGCCGCAGCACCATCTGAAACAACAGCTCCGAATTTATTTGGACCAATTTCCTCAATTATTTTAATAATTTCATTTGATAAAAAACATCCAGTATGTGAATAAGAAGAAAAATCTTGAACTGAATGAACATATTGTTGTCTATCTGAAGTAATAATAACAAATGCATAATAAGAATGATGCGATCCACTCGTCCACCCGTCAAGAACTAATTAATTTATATAATTAATATATAGTACTATATATTATTTTAAATTAAAAATAATGTTACCGTTATCTAAAGTTAAATTTTTAAGCCGATTAAGCTGTTCATCAATATTTACTGTAATACGTGCAGTTTCTTGATCAAGCCAAAGATTGCTTAAAATTTTTCGACTAGGAGGTGTGTAACCCGCATTAAGGTTTTTAAGTAAATCAATAAAAAAAGGGCTTTCAACTACCCAAAAAGGAATTCCACAACAAGTAAAAAAACGAATTAAAGCTTTGTTAATAAGCTTTTCTTGATTTTGATCTAAATGAGTTGATTGAAATTTAACAGTAATTTTTGGCTGATTTTTAGTTTCAATTTCAATTTTTCTTTTTTTTTTTTTTGAAGGTTTAGAATTCATAATCATGTGCAAGTATTTTTTTTTAATGTCCCCTGGTACATCTTTACATTCTAATGCTAAATGCGATTTCATTTCACTAGGTCGTCCTCGCTGTGTAACTTCTTCACAATGTTTACATTTTATTGCTACATGTCCATGCTTATCTCATGTACTAAGTTTAATATACTCAGCATTTACAGGATCTTCGGGTCTACCAACTGATTTGTTAGCTTTTTTTTTTTTTCTTTTTTTATTGTTATAATTCTTTTTATTAATACTTTCATTACTAGAAGAATCTTCAGAGCTATCAGCTCTATCAGTTTCAGGAACTTGACTATCATGATTACTGTCTGAAATAACACTTGACATTTGAAAAAATATAATAATCAACGTTAGTATTTTGATAGAATTTATTATTTATATATACCAATACATATCGATATTAATTATTATGTAATCATATACTATTGTAACGAATAATTTTTTCCTTGTCTCTCACTTCCATATTTGTATAATTCTTTAAGCATAATTGTATCATTATAGCCATATTAATCTTACCTTTCTAGTATTAGTCAAAAGTGAAAAATTTTGCCTGTATAAGCCAGAAAAGCGTCAACAATATAATAAACAGATATAGTTTGCCGCACGCTAAAATCTTTTTAATATGGGCTATTCATACCAGGAAATTGAAAAAAATGGCAAAAATATTGAGAGAAAAATCAAACTTTTTTCACTAATTTAGCCGATAAATCAAAACCAAAAAAGTTTTAGAGGGTTAAATAGAAACTCATATTTAATCCGATTTCATTATGATCTACGGCAATTATTAATCGTACAAGATTTTACATGTTAATTCTAGCTATCACATTTGGGCTAACTTCAATTTCTAAAAAAGAAAATTGAACCGTATTAATACTTAATTCGTA